TAACTAATAACACACCCCCTGATTTAATTCAATTATTAGTTTTTTTATTATTATTTATTTTATATTATATTATTATATTTTTTTATATTCAATATTATTTATTATTATTATTATTTATAATAATTATTATTATTAATATTTTGTTATCATATTTTATTATTTACTTATCATGTAAATAAATTATTCTTATTTCAAAACTCACGTAAATATTTATTTCTTATATATTGCATTAAATATATTTTCAATCATGCATTAATAAGATTTTTTTGCAATTAATATTGATAAAAAATACCAACAAACATCAAACTATTTTTCGTAACAAACTAATCTAAACAATTATTTTTGCAAAAGGGTTTCAAAGGGTTTTGACTAATCACGCATTTAGCCAAAATCTCCGCAATCATTACAACCGGTCAAAATGCGAGGTGACTCAAAATACATTTACAACCCCTAAAAAACACCAACCCCATACGAACTACGAATTGGGACTCTGATTTCTCATAAGAGGATACGTAGGCATACGATCAAAAATGATGGCGAGTTCCCTTATAAAAAATTAAACCCTTTCCCCTATTAAAAATTAAAACCTTTTTCCCCTATTAAAATTTAAAACCCTGTTTAACCCGAAACCTAAACCTAAAACCTAATATTCTTGTGAACAAGGTAGATAAAAGGTGTCTAACACCTTCCTTTCGTCTAATAGAGTCTGAAACCTAGAATCTCTGTCTGCGAATTAGGGTTTCCTATTAGATGCCCTTCCTTAGGATAAAAACTAATATTGGCGACTTTCACATTAAAAAACAGTCGCAATAGTTGGCAATAGCTTGGTCCAACTTTCGACAACTGAATTAAGTCGAACATACCCATGTCATTCCAGACTTAGGATTTCTTATGTTCGACTTTAGCCAGCCAATCGAGATATGGCTTGCTATTCTTTATTGGGCATGATCTAAAAGGCCTAAAAGATTTATTCATATAATCTAAATGGAAAGGTTTTTCTGCCTTTACAGTTTCTCAAGGATGTTTCCCTTGAGTAATTTCTGCAGTTCGCTCTTTAGGGTTTTGATCAACCTTTTCATCTGCACTTTTGGGGGGTACTAGGCTTACTAGCTATGATTTTGGTTAAATAATAAGTGGGTAAAAATCCTTTGGTTTTCTCTAAATCATCAACATTAACTAAAGGACCCATATATCCTAAATTTCTATCAGCAAAGGTAAAAGGAATGATTACCTGGGATGTGTATATAGCACATTATTCTGCAGAAAGTGTAGGCGTTGACACGAATTCCTTATTCTCAGTCAAAGTAGGTTTTGCTATGTGACCAACAGGAACGGTAGTAGCATCTTTAGCTTTCTTCAAGTCTTGATGAGATTTATTGTCTTTCTTGGAGGGCGCCATTGTTGAAGAAAAGTTGGAGGTTTGATTGATTATGGAAAGAAGGAGAGTGAAGAAAATCACAGGTTTTTGAAAGTTTGATGAACAGGAAAAGTGTTGATTTGAAGAAGAAAAAAGTATTTATAATAAGAGGTGGCAAAATGATTCATTTTTTATTTTTTGAAAATGAAAGATAGTGGGGCACGTGTCAGTGGCTGATAAGTTGAGAATATGGTTATTTTTTGGAAAAGCCACGATTTATACCTACTTTAATGTAGCAATGATGAAATATGAACTACGCACATCTTGATGAGACGTTTGGAAAGATGGTCATCATGACTATGACGTCACAATAGTAATAGTCATCATGAGGAGAATTCTGCATCGAAATTGAGATTTTGAAAAAAATATCCATTTCTTTAAATGTCGTGAAATAAACATTTTTGAGGGATAATTTGTTGGCTGGAATTTTGACGATTCATAATATGGGAGAAATAAGAGGATATCGAATAAAGGTTAAATTCACAAAGGAAATGTGAAGATTGTTACTTACGATTTTTGATTGACTGACCAAATTAATAAGGGTTAAGAATTATTAAGTATTAACAAATTCTTACTATTATGGAATATATAAGATTTAAGATATTTTAAGTTTCGAATTCAAACAATTCGACAGGTCAAGTCGTGGTGTTTGGCGCTTTGAATCGAAGACAAATTTGAATTTAAATATTTTGATCTTATCCAGAAAGATGCGTGGAAGTCTGAGTATTCAAAGAAACATGTAGCGTCGAACGTGGCACTCCTGTAGTGAAAGACTGTTATGGTCTAAAGTATAAATTAGGATTTTTATGTTAGATTTTAGTGTGTTCACTTTTGTACAAATTAATCATAAAACTCGAAGTACCAGTGTTTAGAGAAAAGCGTCACTGAGAATGTACGTGTGAATCACCATATTTTACTTAATTGTCTATTTATCTTTACCATAATCTTTTTTATTCCTTTTACTTTTAAGTCGAAATCCTTTTATTTTCTTGTAGTTACTTTACATAGATTTTCTATCATTTACACATTAACCATAACCTTTGAAAGGATGAATATTCGAAAGATATAAACCAACGAAACACAACACATGTCATAGGATCAATCCAGTTGATCCTATAAGTTACCAGAATTTCAAGAATTCGGAAGACTATCGGTTGTTTACCAATTTTTACAGTAAACACATACATGGAACATATAAGAAAAATGGAAGAACTTGATTACATTTTAGTTTGAAGAAGCTTATGAGAACGAGTTCACTGCATGTGGAAGAGAGAGATGTTAGAGTTTTGTTTTGAGAAAAATGAAAGAAAGTTTATGAAGAATAAGAAGAAAGATAAAGTATATGAACTTGATTAACTTTAAGTTTGAAGAAGCTTATGAGGATGAGTTCGCTACAAGTGGAAGAGAGAGATGTTAGAGTTTTGTTTTGAGAGTGACGGTTATTTTGTACTCAAGCTTAATAACTTCGCTTATATATATGTAAAATTTATCACCATAATTGTTAAATGAAATCATAATAATAAGTAAGAAATATTCACAATGGTTTTCATTATTAATCGTGGTGATAAATATTTTTATTTTAATATATTTATAAGATTATAATGACAATCCATTGAAAAATAAATTGCTGGTGTTGGGAATCGAAGCAAGTAAACTTTAATATACCACAACGGTTGTGTTATAAGACCCTGATTAAATGTATTTTAATAAAATATTTAAAAAGTTCAAGCGCGCGAAAATGAATTATTGCCACAATTAACATGAATAGCGTTGTAATATTGTGTTACGAAAAATCTATTTTGTAATAGTGTGATAAAACTAGCGGTTCAATTAACTGATAAAATAAAATGACATAAAAAACAATTAATATATAATTATTTATTTAAAATAAATTATAAAAGATTGTAGTGACTTTTAGTTAAAATAATAAAATAAAAGTGGAAGAAAAAACAATAAATAATTAAAACACTATTTGAAATAATATTTGAAAAAAAAATTATAAATTAGTCAAATAAACTATAAATTTATGATGAAAAAGATTGTTACTAAATAATTTTTTATTATTATATAAATTTATAAATTATAAGCTGCAAAAATATCTTACTTAAAAATATTTTCAAAGATTATTGGACAAAAAAGACTAATATAACATGAATAAATAAATAAATTAAAGATGACAAAATTTTATTTATAATGAAAATGGAAGGAAAAAAATAAATAAGAAGTATCACTTTAATACGAAGAATTTGTTGTCAAGTTTATCAGTTTATCTTATAAGAAAAAATGAGTCATAGTGTACTGTATCATGCATTTAGTAAATGCTGATAAGAAGGTAATAATGATTAAAACTTTTAGGAGTTTTATAAGAAATTAATGATTTAAAAATATGAGAAGTTAACACATTAAAAAGGAACAGCAATGTGAGTTGAAAAGAGTAAAAGAGTAAATATGGAATAAAAGGAGGCCATATCCCATATAAAGATAGTTATAGAAGTTATAAATATTATTTTGTCATTAAAAAACTTTTCAAATTTAAAATAGAATAAATAAATAATTTTCATTTCTTGAGAAAAAATTGTTTTTGAGAAAAAATGTAATAAAAGTATAAAATATGAATTTAATTAAAATATATTGAAAATATAAAAAAAATTTACACCATCAATTAACTATAACTGTTAAAATTTTATAAATATTTAACTTTTTTTTAATTATATACAAAATATTATTTATAAATAATTGTAATTTATTGATCGTATAAAATATTTAACTTTTTACTCTTACGGTACATAACAATTAATCTTATAAAATATTCTTACAATATCAAAAATAAAAGATCTATAAAGATAAAATACATTTTGATAAACTAAAAAAAATAAAATACATTTTTATTTTAAAAATACTAAAATAATATAGCAAATATAAGAATTTTGATAGATTATATTTATAAAATTGTTTTACACCGATTGAATGTACACTATCTTTAAAGTCAATCTTTTTCTTTAAAATCAGTTTTATAAACACAACAAATTATTACTAAAAATAATAGTACAATTAATTCATTTGTAATGAAATGAATAAACTGCTTAATTTGGAGGAAAATCTATCATTATATAAATGCTCTCTTTCTGTCCTTGTGTATAACACGTTTTGAGATGGATTTTTATGCATGTATTAAAAAACAATAATAATGTAATTAATAATTGATAAAATAGTTTAGTACTACTATCGTATACTTTTTGTTGAAATTGTATCCCTGACGCTTAACATTTTGATTTCCTTTTCTTCCCTTTATCACCGTCACACACACTCTTTCCAACCTTTTCATCCATTTTTCTTTTAATTTCATTCCCCGGGAAAGACCGTCTTCTTTTCAGTTTCAGTCAGAGATCAACATTTCCTCATAAAACCGACACACCTTTTTGTTCAAAATACAAAACAAACCAACGTTGTTTTTGAAAAAAAATGCCCCATTGTTTGTTTTACAAGTTTTAAGGTTAAAGCGTGAACGCGTTGTTAACCTTCGTTAAACGTTTGAAACAAAAACAGCATTATTTCTTGAGTTCATTTTGTTTCCTCTGGTACGATGATGTTTGATATAGAAAGAATGCAATCTATGTCTAACCTTGATTGCTTTCTTCATCGTACAACACCTGTGGTACCATCTAAGTTTCTTCAACAGGTTTTTTTTCTAAGTTTCTTCAACAGGTTTTTTTTTCTTGTCATTTTTTATTTATTTCGTTTTGATAAACTAGATTACGCTTATTTTATCTTTATTTTTTGAATCGACAGAACGAGATTAGAAACCTTAACCGTTTATGGAATCGTTGTTGTGATAAAGAAGCAGTTGAATATTTCAGTTTGAGTGACCTTTGGAATTGCTATATTGAGTGGAGTGCCTATGGAGTTGGAGTTCCAATTCACTTGAATGATGATGATTCACTTGTGCAATACTATGTCCCTTATCTCTCTGCAATTCAAATATTCACTAGCAATAATTTCAGGTATTTTTCTTTTTAAAAACTCACACAATCGTAAATATCAAGGTTCCAACTCATCCTAGCAATATCTGATGATGTTTTCTGTCAGTTGGGCTATGATTTGCGGACTACTTGTTTTGAAATTTTAAATTTATCATAAATGTGAAGGTTGTTAAGTTCTAGTTTTGAATGTGTTGCAGAGAAGAGATTAAGTGTGGTGATAATGAGACACGAGATTCGTTGAGTGATTCTTACAGTGATGATAGCGAATGTGATAAGATATGGAGTTCATTAGAAGAAGGAGAGAGCCTTTGGAATTTGGATGAGAGATTGGGTCATCTCGATTTTCAGTATTTTGAAAAATCAACTCCTAATGAAAGAGTTCCTTTGATCGATAAGGTCAGTCTCTGTTTCTTTATTCTTAAACCATGGACAAAATTTCATCTTTATCCCTATTATCATTTTCATGTTTATTACAAGATGACAAACCATAATTTAGGCCTAGCAATAGAATTTTTTTTAATATATCTCCTGACTTTTCAATGTGAATCGATAAAACTCATTTTCATCTGCCTAATAAGTTTGAAAAAATGAATTTAAGACAGTTTGGAATTCTTCAAACCTTATAAACCAGTTTGTAGGAGGGAATAGACTCCACTTATAAACAAATACATTGTTCTCTTAACAGACCTTTAGAATTGGATATCAAGAAGTCCGAATGTGAAAACCAGCTATTCACCAAATTTTAAATAGGACTCTCATCTTAAAAATTGTGGCTTTGTCTAACTCAACCTTATAAAATCAGCTTGTAAAATAAAGATTGTCACTATATATAAACTCTTTATATTATGTATTGTTTGATACGAAACTCTTAACACATTTTTTCACTCACATGACTTGTATATTCTGAGTGTGGAAATAAATGACGGATGATTTGATAATGAAAACTAGATAGCATATGGTCAAATCGATTTTAAACCAAACTCTCGAATGTCATCTTAAGAACTTTTACCGAGCCTAATTCAACTTTACAAAATTGACTTGTAAACTAAAAATTGTTTTCATTTATAAACACATATATACTCTAAAGCGGAAGCAAGACTCAGTCAGTGAATTATCCTTCTGAACTATAAAATCAATTAGTCAGTTCACTATATACATCGGAATTGATCGACTAAAATTCATTAAAAAAAAAAAAGAAGTAAAATATCTTAAAATTGTTTTCAATAAAGATTTGAAGGACAAACAAAGGTACTGTTTTAGATATTTGATCAATCAGCTTGAATATGTAAGCACTAATTTAGGATGATCATAATAATGAAAAATAGCACTAGTAAAAAAGTAATTTTAGCTGAACCGTTGATGTGAAAAAGTAAGTAACTAAGATTGTATCATTGACAAATTGGTTCCCTTTCAGATTAATGGATTAACAGAAAGGTACTCTGGTTTGACGTCACTTAAAAGCGTTGATCTCTCACCAGCAAGTTGGATGGCAGTTTCTTGGTAATTAAATTCCATTCCTACCTATAACAACAATTACTTCTTTCATTTTGTTTCATTCTATTAGTCATATTTCTAGAATAAGTATAGTTATAAATGGTTGAATTAGCACATTTAGATTTGATCCAATGTAGTTAACAATTTTTTAGGTACCCAATATATCAAATTCCCGTGAGAAGGACAATTAAAGATCTTTCAACATGTTTTCTCACTTACCACACACTTTCATCTTCTTTTCAAGGTATTATTAGTCCAACAATTATGTGCATTTACCATGTCTAGAAAAGTTTTTAAGAAAGAATGTGCACTAAATGGACTCAAATTTGTGTAGATATGGACCGTGATGATGAAATGGAAGGAACACAAGAGAAGAAGAAGAAATATGAAGCAATCTCTTTGGCTCCATTTGGTTTGGCCACGTACAAGATGCAAGGGAGTAATTTGTGGGTCTCAGGAAATTGTGGTACGGACCAAGAAAAGGTGGTTTCACTATGTAGTGTTGCTGATTCATGGTTGAAGCAACTAAATGTCCACCATCATGACTTTAATTACTTCATGGGTATTAGGCATGGCTAAAGTTAAGGATTAACATGCACTATTTCATTTTACTAGTTTTTTAGTTTTCAAGTACCCAATGAGGAATGATGACTTTTGTAGTCTTTAATACTTTAAGTAGACTCTCCTGAAGTACAGTAGATTTAAGAGAGGTAGATGAGGGGGTAAGAATCTTCTAATTTTAAGGCGTGCCTTTGGATCTCTCTCTCTCTCTACATAACACTGTCTCATTCCATTTTTCATTCTTCTGCATTTTCTTTTTATCAAACGTGGGCAAAATCAACCAAAGACATGCCTTTAGCACCTCAAAGTTAACCGATCCTATTCCGTAGACGAGGAGGTATGAGTATTTACTAAGTTGAGACTATTTACAACTTTAAACTTGGTCTTACTTTTGTACTATCTCATCATCATATAATATTTTTAATACTTTGAGGTTTGAGAAGAGACATTATATTTTTTGTAATATAAGAGTTGTGAACGATTAAAATGTACTATAAAATAATAAACAATTAAAGTTTCATTAAACCATAATAGTTGTTCACTAGGTTACTTGACAAACAAAAAAAAAAAACAATTAAAATTATATTAAAAATTATTGTGAATATTTTTAAAAATAATTACCTAACAAATAATTTTCAAAATAATTCTATTTCATTATTTTAAGTTTTTTTTTTTCATTTATGAAGAGAGATGTTCCAACAAATTCATTTATAAAAGTACAAGTAATATCTAAAAGTAAAAGGTATAGTCAACTTTATTTATCCAATAAAGTATAAGACTACCACAACTATTTCCACTATTTAAATTTTAAAAGTTGAAATAACTCTTCCGATACAAAACCAATTTGTGTCATAAAATGAATCATTAGAATTTGTATAGATTTTATCTTTACTTAATTTGAGATTTAGATTTCTTTCGGTATACCTTATCACGCTAAGCATTATTTAGTTTGGAGCTTTGATTTAATTGAGGGATGGTCTGAATTATTAATATGAAATACTTGAATTTTTTTTCTTATTGTTAAGTTAAATTTATAACATTAGAGTTTGATGCGGATATATAAATACTAGGTGATTCGAATTATTAAACTCTTATTATTAAGTTAAATTTAGAGTAACATATAATTTATTAGTGTAAAATGAGCTAACGATATTCTCAGATTTCATTTGGTTGTTTTCTTCTGAAAGTTTGAGAAGAAAAATGATTATCAACCAATTTTGAATGGTCGGATATTATCCGACAACTTATTTCGTGTCATCAGTTTCTGACTAACTCACAAGACACTAAGTACGAGTCTGAATGCAAATGTGATAACACCTTGTCATTATGTAATATTCAGGAGTAATTTCAACCAAATCAGAGAAATAATGAAGAAAATCAAGCAAAAATATGAAAGAATGGAATAAAAGTTGCAAAAGTGTGGAGAAAGATAACTTAGAGAAATTTTGAGGAAATTGGAGAAAAAATAGAAGCATTTATGTTTGAATTTCACGTGCATGCTATGCTTTCATCGTGAGCACGATGAAACACGGGTATGATGGTTGACAACGCATGCGCAATACCATGCAAAATTGACACACATAAATTGCTAAAAAGAACTTTTGACTATTTTTTTAGGATTTTAAATTTGACAGAAAAAGTGACGATTTGGAGTTCTAAAGAAATGATTTTGAGAATTTGAAAGGCATTAATGTCATTTATCTTCCTTGTTTTCATATACTCTTCATCTAAACTCATGATAATTATTACATGCGTTATAAGTAGCTAGATTCTTTATATTAGGTCTTTTTAGACAAATCAATGTTGATTGAATTATTTTATGTTATTGTTATTATTTAATTGGTCATGATTTTAATACTTTAAAGTTGTCTTCTTTTCAAACAATACCATTTTTTATATGTAATTTTTTTTATTATTTATCAATAAAAATATAATAAATATATAATTATCTCTTATACATATTGATCTAACCTGATCAGAGTTGGACCGTCACAGCTGCTTCGGGCTGAGTTTGAATGAGATGGGGGATACCTGCAAGACACTTCGATGATAAAGTGAGAAGCAGAATGAGCAAGCAAGTATGAGTTTTAGGTGTGAATGAATGAATACCTGACCCTCTTGAAAGAGAGGGTATTTATAACCCCCAACGTTGGACCAAGGTCTCTTTATTGGGCTGATCAAACAGGCCCAACAAAGAGACTGTCAGGTTCTACGTGTGTAGTGGGGACCCGCACGTGGCCCTCTACCTGGATAACGTCCTCCGCAAGACAGGGAGGATAGAGACGCGATCTTTCCGGGACCATGAAGACTTCGCGAAATCCGGAGAGGTTGGAAGTCAGCCCTACGGGGAAGGTGCTCGGGAGGAGCGCGTGTTCGTCGGGATGGTCTCCGCGAGCACCGACGGGAAGCAGTCATGGTCGACAAGACATCTGTGGTCGGGATGTGCTCAGTGGAAATATTGTTCAGCGCAGCAGGTTGGCAAGTTTGGATTGGGCCTCACTGGTAGTTGGGTCAAGGGTAGGCCCAGTCCAGAACAGGAGCCCCCCAAGTCGTTGCTCCTGGTAAAGGAGTTATGACTTGATTCAAGTTCGCCCCTTCGCGAGACTCGCTGCGCGACACAATGTTTTTCTACTGTGGTCGTGAGACGTCTCTTGGTTCGTGATTTGCTTCGTGCAGCGGTCGAAGAGTGTTCGAGGAGTACTCGCGGGGAGAGGATGATACACTAGTCAGACACGTGGCGTGGCTCTTGGAAACCACAATGGCGGCCTAGGGAGTAGGGGCCATCATTGTCTATGCGAGTAGGTGTCGAGGATAAAGGCGGTTTTTGGTTCCCCGACGCGACATTTCACATTCCACTCATCTCTATAAATAGGGCTTCAGGGCCCATAACTTGTTTTCACATTTTCACGCTCTCATATTTTCTCTGCCGTCAACACCGCGCGTTTTCCTAGTGTCACTGATACCGCCGCACAACCCACCGTGTATTCATCTCCACAACCGTCGCTCATCACTCTTCCTCCAAGTAAGTGTTCTTTTTCTTTGCCATCTTGTGTTGTAGATAGATTTTGATGGTGTTTAGTGGTAGAATTTCGTGTCTGGGGATTATTCCCGGGAAATTCAAGCGCTTTAGGCGTCTGATTCAAGATCATGCCCGCGACGTTCATAGGTTTAGGCATACGGTTTATGACCGTGCCCGTGATATTCATGTGTTTGGCTAATAGATTTATGAACTTGATCGGGGGATTCACCCTTTTGTTAGTATGTAGGCTAGTTTTCCCCGTGGTATTTTTGTATCTGGCTAGCAATGTTATAAACTTGGTCGTGAAATTCATCCTTTGCTCGCGATATTCTTGTTGTGCCCATGACATTTATGATTGATATACGCCCGCCGTTAAGGTCGGTGTTTGATCGAGGTCCATGTGTTCCCCGTCTTTCGTGCTAATGGTCGTTGACTCGGTCTGAGTGTTGCTTACTTCTCCCCGTCTGTATGGCAGAAAAGCGGATTTGCTGTTGAATTTATCGGTTTCCTGTACTTTGCAGGTAAATGGCCGATATTCCCGAGTCCTCGGAGCATATTGACACCTAGGAAACAAGCACTACCGAGGAAAGCATGAATCTGGTTGACACCGTCGAGGACCCTACTATGGACTGGGTTGGTGCGGAATCCCGGAGGATAGCTTCGATATATAGCTATACCAGTAGGAAAGCTTACATTGTCGTCGAGTACGGTGGCGGCCAAAAGGGATTTCAAAGAAATTTTAAGATCATGAGGCCGACAAGGGATGCCCGCATTTGCTCGGAGTTTACTCAGGACGCCTTCCCTATGTACGAGATCATATTTAAAGATCTCGGGCTCTGGCTACCTTTCAACGACTTCCAGATGGGAGTGTTCAATCACTTGAACCTGGCCCCCTCCCAGATTCATCCTAACGCGATTGCCTTTATCTGGGAATTCAAACTCACCTGCCGCTTCTTGAGGATCGGGGCAACGATTCCCCTGTTCTTTAGGGTTTTTCACCTGCAACGGCAGTCCCAGGGAGGGAAGCATGGTTGGGTGTCCCTTAAGCAGTCGAAGAGGCTGTTTAGGATGTATATGGATTTTGTGCGAGATTTTAAGGATAAGTGGTATATTTTGCAACCGTCTACTCAGACAACCGTGGATTCGCTGTTCGAACCGGCTGTTGTGGTGGACAAGGATGGGGAGTCGTGTTTGGATTCTGAGGGTAATCCCGAGATTGGGAAAGTCTCAAAGTTTCCCATCCACTGGTGTTCGGGCCATTACGATCATGGACTTGGATACTACCACACTTCCGCTGGAGGTATGAGTGCTGAGGACGAGGAGGCTTATGGCGTCCTGAATAGATTTGTCGATGGTTTCTTCCCTGCTCGGTGGGTTACGAGGGAAGGGAATGACATTCTTGATGAGGATGGTGAGCCGACGTTCGAGGCACGTCCTATCAACACCAAGCCGCTCGTCGAATGCCAGTCTTACGGGCATGCCATAGAGCTCTTAGGTTTCTTGCTTTACTCTATTGATAGCCCTCTTTATTTGTTTTCTTCGATGTGGCTAACCCAAGTACATTTTCTTTGCAGGTCACATGGCAGAACGTCGCGAGAGGTTACTGAAGCTGACCCCAAGACAAGAAGGTCAACAAGAGGCTGATGAAGCCACAACAAGCCACGTGAATGGGTCTGACCCCCGAGTCGGGCAGGGAAGGATCTAGTGGGTCCTCGGGTTCCCATGACACCAAGCGTTAATCTTCTTTGATTAGCAAGAAACAGAGTCGGCCAGAAGGTGGAGTCGAAGTGACCGATGGAGGGGCGGGTGCCCGGGCCTTTAGCCTTCCACCCTGTTTTATGGAAAAGGATTTCTTTGAGGGGTTTCCCTTGACCGTATCCGACAACGAGGCCGATATCATCAGACGGCTCGACAAGGAAGGTCGGAGGAAACACCTCGCTGCCAACATGATTGGGGTGGTGAAAATGGCCGAGATGGCAGTTGTCCTTGCGGGTGAAGG